GACACACAAAAATCGATGTTTAGTTGTGTTTAATATTTACTTTTAAATTAAGAAATTAACTAATATATAATACTAAAATTTGAATTATAATCTACAATTTGATACCAAACTTATTGACATAGATTCATAAAATAGTTCAATAAAATTTTGAATGCAAGTCAACAAACCCAATGACATGGCCTTTGACAAGTGACCCGTCACAATAGGGTTAAGGGAAGGCTTGATAAAGATTTGAATGATTAGGGCTGGTTTGGAGTGTCTTATTTTAATTTTAAAGTATGGTTTAGTGAATGGGATAGCCTATATAAAACATCGGGTCTTTTGTTATTTTTAAATTTGATGTCATGTTATTTCTTTAAAAAAAGGACAAACTTTATTTATATTTCTCAGTAACTGCATACAATTGTCAACCCTCTATTTTGTGCATTTAAAGATTAGTAAGCAGGGTTCTCCAAACCTTTCAGACAAGCCAGGCTATTGACTCACAGGGCTATAAGATTAGTGTAAGTAGTTCTTGTGGTACCTGCTCAAATCTACCCACACATGTGACAAAGTAATTCAAAAGTTTAATGTCACAGCTGTTGGTATGGTCTGAAGAATGATTTTTATTTCTGTGCTGATTAAGAAATAACTATTTTCTTTTAACCTCATAAGCCTGTATGAAGGTCAAAGTGTGCCTGCCTTGACTTTGAACAAAGTTTTATGCATTTGATGTCCAAACTACCAACAATTCTTGTTACCCTACATTTCTGATTTTTGAAAATGTTTGTGTGGAGTGGAGAGAATACTAGATACAATATACAGGAAAACTGAAAAACTACGTAATAATTTAAGAGTTAAGAGAGATTATTCAAATACAATTTGGAAACTGTAACATGGACAAAATTATTATTATCCTTCAGAATAACATCACCTTGCACTCAGACTTGTCAGATTCTGAGTCAGACTGACTTTGGCATTTCACAGATAAATCTTTATGACAAAAACTTCAGTAACTGCAAACTACTTTGATTTTTATTGCTATGAATGTTTCCAAATTTAGACAAAATAATTGAAGGCCATGTAATTCATGTCACTACTACAATAAGATAGATTTCACCTACATTACTTTCATCCTCACAAGTGCTCAGCTTTTCATATTTCATGTTCTTTGACTTATCTACATGGATTATTTCTATCCTTCTATTTTCTTAGTAACATAAAAACACATATAAGTCAATACAATAGACTTATAAGTCGCTAACAGATGAGTATATATTGTAAAAGTATTTGATGTCCTGTGATCAAGTACAAAATAGACAAAAAAGAAAAGTTTACCTGAAAATTAAGCAGCCAATAAAACACGTAATACGAGCACCATATCTGTGTTCTAGCACTCCTCCAAGTGGCATCATGAGTCCCTGACCCAATAACATAACAGAATTAATCCATACTGACTGACTGTATGAGACACTTTCATCTACTCTGCTCTTTATATAAGACATCATGTAAGTGTTCATATTACCAAAAGTGTAAAAAGTTCCCAATGTAAGATGTATGAGAAAACTTCCACATACTGCTAAACAACCATAAGATTTGAACATCATGGATTTTCTTTGGTCACCAACACCTAAAAAAAATTCAAACAAATGTAATAAACATAAGTAATTCACTGAAATATATAAAATACTATTAAAAAAAGGCAAACATACACATGACTTAAAACAAATATAAGTAAATATGCTATGTCGTTTAAAAAACTGGACAATGAAACACAATCCATAACCAGTTTCTGCACACAAATGAAATTGAAAATTAACAATAGCCCAAAAAAGGCTTAACATTTTAAAGTTTTTATTTGTATTTATATCTTTCATACAAGAGAAGAAAAAAATTATTTGCACAACTTCACTTACCACCTGAGAACTAGCAACTGACCACAACAAAAATTTGTATTTAAAGGAATTGCTATAAAATTTTTAAATGTTATCTTCCATTATTTCACATTGATATATGTGCAAGTCACAGTAACAGCTGAAATGTGTACAGGAGTTAAAAAGTATCTTCTTCAATTCTGATTTGAAATTGCAAACATAGCAATGAATAACATTTTCTATTTGTGAAATTGGAAGTAACCATTCTACCAATATTATTTGGTACATCCTAATTATTCATCTAGATGTCAAAGTCATTTTTTTTGGCCAATGAATTGTAAGTAAACCTTCTATTGAAAAATGAAAATACTACTTGTATCATACACTTACAGGTTACTGCCAAAGGATTTAATATCATGATAATACTTCCATATGGTGAGAAGCTGAATGACCACACAGCTAGAACATACACTTAAAACCAAGTTAGCTGGCCTGATTCAAGGCATAAGTTCAAAGGTAAAAAGGGAGCTTATTTAACCTTTAGAAGGCCCTGATGCAAAGATGTCATTAAGAAACAGGGTCCAAGGGTTTCCTTCAGCAATTTTCATTTATAATCTTCCTCTTTTATTTTTTAAAAGTAACTTAAATCTTTCATTCTTTAAGATTAATAGTACATTAAACCACTTTTTAACACATCAGTAATTTTCCATGCATAAAATGTATATGTAACCCAGTACTATTTGACTAAGAACAAGCATTGTGTTGTTTCAAATGTCTTAAACAAAATCGCACTGTCAATTAACATGTACTTGTGCTGCAAGTATTCTGCCTTTTTCAGAAAATGCTTATGTCTAGATCTTTGGAATGTCTTTTTTTTCTTTTTGAACATTACTGTTATATTCTCACTTTACCTATCTGTCTTTCCAGAATGTACTAATCACTCAATTTTAAAATTGAATAGTGGCAATGTTGACTGAAGAAAATGTCTAAAGTAAATAGTCTACGTTGGGTTCTCCAAATACTGATTGAGAAAGCAATCGTCCATCGGTAATGACCATGAAATATATTACTTTACCGAAATGAGGGAGCCTGTTCTAGGCAAAAGCTCTGTAACTGCAAGACCCAATTACCACAGTCTTGTTTCTTGTGCCCTCTAGCATTAATTGATAAGAACATACCCTTCTGATATTTACTCACTTGATTCATTGGTCTGAAAAAAACATTAGGGAAATTATTATCATCACCAACAGGAGTGTCACCAATTTTTAGAGTAGATTCAAATATAAGCAGAGAGGGGTCCTTCCCCCTTTGGGGGTCATAGAGGCAGGTGATCTACTCATAATGTTTCTATTAAAATATCACTAACTTATCAATAAAAATAACCTGCAAATGTTGGAAATTAGTTGGAAATGGATGGATATGAAGATATTAAAAGGTAAAATTAATATACAATACCACATACACATGCAAGATACTTGACAGTAGATCACAGGATTTAAATCAGCAATTACTAGGTGCATACAAAGAAGCACATTATCTCAGACAGATTTAAGGTATAGAGAAGACTACTATATCAAAAACAGATTCACTTAAAAAGTTAAAATCAGCTTGGTTATTAGTATTACAAAACTTGGAAAAGTTCTCAATGGCTTTACTGGGTATTATTTAAACTAAATTTAATTGGAGAAAAGGGTATTACAGCAGAAATAATTTGTATAATAATAATAATCAGTATAAGACATTCACTAAATTTCAACGCAATGTATTATTAATTTCTTACATTAAAATCAGAAGGCCCAGTAAAAAAAGTGGTGTTAGAAATGGAAACTTTAGTTTCTATTTCACTTTGATAGTAACCAATATTATTGAGTTATTAAACACTAAAATTACTGGTGAGGTCCATATTAACCTCAATGGCTTTTTAAAATACATTTTCTAAACTATTTTAGCATTTCTTGCAAGTCCATAAATTCGTTGATCAGGTACCTAATAACATAAATGTGCCATACAAAATTCAAAGGAAAATACAGTCAATTGAAATTAATCCCACTAATTAATATTGGGTTTTTCTATGTACTTTGGATAGAAAATAAATAATTTCACCTAATTTTTAGACAGTTATTTACAATGAGTGTAGTAACAGGGGAAAACACAAAATTACTCAGTATGATGGAACATGTGGACCTCAGTAGTAGTGAATGATTCATAAACACGTTTGTAATTTGCAAATAAAATAACAAGGAAGAAAATGTACATTATTTGGATTAAAAACAATTCTACAAGGATTGGGAAACAAAACAAAGAAAGAGAGATGATGTTGGTCAAAAATAGAATGAATATTTTGGGGGTATTTTATTTTTTATCTGGCTTGTCTTTTTTTTAAAACTATTATTATTGGCTCCCTAACCAAGGATATGTTCAGGCGGCTAACACAATGTAAAAGCACAAGTTTCTAGCGAGAAACTTTGTGTGGGAAAAAAATCCAGAAAATATATTCATCTTACAAAGATCTAAAGGGTTTCCTCAAGATAGATGGATATGTATATTTGCATATATAGTTTTGGTTTGAGGTTTGGAGGCACACAATTACAAATGTTCACAAAAGTTTTTCCAGCGATAAAGCAAACACAAATGGGCAACTTATAACAGTAAATCTTGTTGTCCAGTGGTAGAATAACATGCCTTCTTATGCCAATTAGGGTCAACCCTTAAAAAAAGTAATTCTCAGTGGTGTAGTGTTTGTGCCAAAGTGCCAACTAAATCCTAATCATTTTCTGGCCCTTGCATTACATATGTACATAAAGGTGGCATTTAAAAAAAAAAGAGAAGATACAATTGTTAAATTATACACAGTTTATATAACATCTCCACATCACAAAATATATCATTTGTATATATTTTCAAGTCATAATTTTAAACATAGATTCTATTATTTTCAAATACAAGATTTGAAACATGCATGTACATGTACTATAATCACACAAAAGAAAAAGTAAAGGAGAGGCATCCACTCCAGCTCCACTACACCACTGGGAATTCTTCTCAATCACCTGTCCAAGAATTCAAAAGAGTTAAATTACTAATAAATCTGTACACACCACAAGGAATAAAAGCTTAACTCAAAACAGAGGAGAAACTGCAACTGTGTTAATCCAAGTTTCATTGGCAATGTTAACAGATTGTTAGTTGATGAGAGAATAATGAGTCTCAAGCTTGTGATTCATAACAATACGAAGAAAAACATTTGTATATGATTAGTCTAGAATTTCAAGACGATCTTTTATCCACACACATCAGGCAAAGCTACAAAATGTTCAATTCTCAATGGAAACAAGATAATAAAGAGTAGATAAAAACTGGTGTTGATAGTAATTCTCTAAAACTGATATAATGATGCATTTTCTTTTTCATGATATTTCTGTGCTAACAATAATTAAACAACAATGTATCACTTTCACACTCAATCCATTAATATTTTATACTAAACTCAATTAAATACTGATCACTGTATATCAGATTTATATATTTTTCTGTCCGTTTAAAATCTTTAGTTTGATCATTACTTAGTTAAGAAGAGCCTGATGCATAGATTGTGCAATGCAAATATTGGATAGCCTATCACTCACGAGTACTAGTTCTAAGTAGTAGTAGTAGTGCAGAGCTTAGAAGTTAGAAGAACAACTAGAATTTATAACTATCTGTAACTGTAAGTTAATAAAAAAATTACAACATAAAACTAGTAACAGTTCTAACACTGTAAATTGTAATGCACAATTTATCACGTCTTTACTTTCTTTATATATATAAAAATCATCAACTTACTCAAAATTAGTTGCATCGAACATGTATTTCACGTTAACTTAAAGCTCTTTGCAAGCTTAGTACTGCTCGAGTTTGACAGCTTCGCAATTGACACATATGCCCTGCAAAGCGTAAGTCGTACAACACACACGTCACTCAAGCTGACCCTGACTAAAGTACTGTATCGGTGTGCACAATATTTGTACTGTAGCTGTGTTGTAACTGTTCATGCTAGACATCTTGCGGGTCAATTGGACAAGTAATCTCCAATCTGACCTGCTCTTTATAATTAATCTATATATATAAAAGAGGAAATTTGTTTATTTTGTTCGCTATAGGAAACCAAATAGTTGAACTTACAAATTTTAAAATAACTTCATAATAACCAGTTTTTTTACAAGAAATGTAATGGTGCTATTTGTTTTGTATTTGGTGTAGTATTTAATGACGAAATGGACAATTAATGATTATTGCACCATTGTTTTGTAATAAACATACAACAATATATGCACAACAGAAATTAAATTATGAGATGAAAATGTGTTATAACGGTGCGTAGAAAGAACAACAATAAAATGGATCTACAATATTATTGACTGATGGCAAATAGTAACTATGGAGACGAGGTAATAAAATAAAAATCAAGTCGAGAACAACAACAACATTTTACAAACGAAAACCTTTCGCCGAGCATTGGCTATTATATTGTTACGTCTCCGTTTTTTAATTGATTTTCCGTAACTTCTTACCGACGAAACTTAAGCGACACAAGCCTTTACTTAATAAAACTGGTTTATTCTTTCCGAATATAACTTAACCGATACACTCAACTTCAACAATCGCGCTAAACAAACGCTATAGCAACGAACGTCAATAATACTCCGACCGCAGATCAATTACTCACTATCTATACACACATTACCTCTCCC